TTAACAGGATCGTTATCCCAACATTTCTCGTAAAGTTCAATATATTGAGATGGTGTACCTTCTATAGGTTTTTCTCTATTTCCCCGAATAATAACATGAATAAAAAGTTTGTTAGGTGACGATTCAAGGGACTGGAATGGTGGTCTTCCGCTTGAAATTTCCCAAAGAATTACCATTATTATCTATTAATTAACATGTAAATATTATCGGCTATAAATTAAATATTTATTACTTATATATTTAGGAGTAAGAACTATATATATATACCTTTCGTGACCCCATAAAATTTAATAATGTTAGGATGATAATCAACTTGTCGCATTAGTTTAAGCTTTATTATTACATATCAGATATTGTAGATACTTAATATTATGGCAAGAAGTAGTTCAAATTTAATATATATAACAAATACCTCATTAATAAAATCTCTAATAATCTTTTCTTTTAATATTAATTCGGTATCAACTTTTAGGCATTTAAGAGCAACTATTAATCCACACTCTTTCCACTCATATTTAGAAACCTTTCCAAAGCCACCAACGCCAATCTCACTAGGGTCTGTTAATTTATTATATTCGAGATAATTAATATGTCCACCAGAAATAGCTTCTTCAAGCCACTTTTCTGATATATTTGCCATGACTTTTTGTTTGTGCTAAGTTTTATTGAATAATACGAATGAACGTACGTACGTATGATGCAAACCATAATCGTTCCTTATATAGAGACCCCAACTCACCGATAGATTTTCTCTGATCGACAATTTTTTTAAAGTCATAAAACGCTACATTAATCTTGTAATCCATCAGCGAAATAAACGTGTTCAGAATTCACAAAATAAGTACTTATTTGTGCGAGTAATACAAATCCAAAAAAGGAAATTAATCGGTGAACATAGAAGAAAATGAATACATATACTAATTAAAAATGACGAGAATGAAATTTATATATAAGAAACCTAACGCTCACTTTTTTCAAGTACAGAAGTACGGCGCAAGAAACCTAAAAATAACAAAACTGGTTAAATTAAGGCCACACGAACCTAATGTTTATAAATTATCGTTAACAATAAAAATTTTGAGTGATATAAATGAAAAAATATCGTTTTTGATTGCTTGACCCATTTTTATTGACTCACTTTAAAAAAACATTGACATGATAATAATTGTATCTTGGGATGGGCGCGTGATAGCATCCTTCATTAAATTACACAAAAATGCGCGATTGATCCTCGATTTTTTGCAAGGTTTAAATCGCAGTAATTACGTCATTGGTTTAGTGATGCGAACTGTTCAAATCCGTATAATACAATCAAATCCGTATCCGTACGGATTGATCTGCAATCCGCATACTCGAATAGTTATCACGTGAAACTATACGGAAGATTCGCTATACAGTTTGAATAGTTGACAATCCACATTAGAGGTAATTTATACATATATATGTACCAGGCACAATACTGTACGTACATACGTATTCTATCCTCTAAAGTTTTTTCGCAATTAGCAAGACATTTATTATTTTCCTGAAGTTACACTAAATATATTATCATTAATTAAGATTATTATTTTTCTTTTAAAAGATCCTGTAAAGATTTGGGAAGTTTTAAGACATCTCGAACCGTAACTCCTTCACTATGATTAATGTTTAAATCAAGCTCTTGCATAATTGAAAGTTGTTTTATAAATTCATCCTGAAATAAAATCCGTTAATAATACAAAAATAATGAAAAGATACCCCTGTAATTACTCACATGAAAAACAGCCATGAGATAAAGAACTGCCTTGTATTTTGATCTACCTTCAAACGAAAAAGGAATTACAGCAGAGGCAAGTTCAGTTGCCAAAAAGGATCCATCATCCATCATGCTAAGAGAATATAGTGTAATTCGATAACCTAATAATCAAAACAATACTAATCAATAATATTGAAATCATCATTTTTTAAAATAACGAAGACATATACCGATAGCTTGCAAACTGAACACCTTTATATTTGTCGCAACTTTTACAGGAACGTCCAAGTGTTCAAGCAAAAGTGCAACCAGGTTTAAAATATCACTATGCAAGGATTTCTTTGTATCACCGATTACGTGATCTATTATTGGTGATGATGGTGAACCAGCAACTTCCATGTGCCATATTTCCTTATCATCAAATAAACGTATTCCTTATAACAACAAAGAGACTAATATTAAAATATTATAAAGCAAAATGATTAAAAAATATTTAAATTACTTACCTTTAGCGTCAAATTTAACAATTCCTGAACTGGTAGGTGATTTTGCCAATTTTGCAGACAGGGAATGTGATTCGATCCAATCAAAGATGATATTTCCAAAAGTTGTTTCGTAAAATTTAAAAAGTGAAGAAAGATTCTGAACGATATATTTTCTTTCTCCAATTTTTCTGGAAAGTGTGGGAAAAACATCTACCAAATTATAACTAGTACCAAGAAGTCAGAGATAAGTGCCTATTTATTAAATTCACAATAAACATTAAAGACTCACAAATCGATCAATATTTTTTCACAATATAAGCGGAAACTGCTTGCATCATTATCTTCAATCTCTAGCATAATGGCTTTCTTAAAATCGTTTCCTGATTTCTGTAAAATGAACAAAAATATATATATATAAACATATATATTTCTTTCCAATATTCTACCAATTAGAACTAACCTTCAAAGCATTCTCGAGATAGCTCTCTACCTTAGCCCACATAGATGGTTCCTGAACATGAATCCGGTTGTATTTTAAAGATTGTCCCATCGCATCGAGATATCTAACAAATAACATGCTCTAAATTATGTTACAAATATTAAAGTGACATCTAGTGAAAACTAGACTTCTGCTTTTAAATTCACAATTTATAGGGTTCAACTCCTGAAAAACCTGATTATTGATATATGATATATAACTGGATTTAATATGTCACTAATCAGACTATTTTCAAGGACGGTTGTAAATTTAAAAGCTTAAGTTAGGCTTTCCTTTGGTGGCACTCATACGGTACTCACCGAATAACACCCTCATCATACATCTGACGCTTATTCGGAGTATGAAGAGGCGCATTTACATTTGGAATTCTAGGCGGTGGTGTCCTCATTCTCTCCGGCTGCGAGTTAAAAGTTCCACTTGATATTTGCTCTGTGCTCTGTGTCAAATTCGTTGTTTCTGATTCAAGACTCTCAAAAGACCGCTTACTTGGTAGCATGGGTTGTATAATATTGCTTAAGTTTGTTACTGCAGCATTAGTCAAAGCGTATGAGTATTTTGAGACATTATCAAACTTGGTGAAAAAGTAATTTAAAATTATAATTAATACTTATTTTTGAAATATATAGTAATCAAATTCATGAACTTACTTGTTCATAATTTAATTTCTCTTGTGCCGATATCTGATATTCTATAGAAGCCCATAATTCGTCAAGTTCACTTCCATGAGTACGTTTGCTCTTTGTGAAAAAGATTGAGTGAGAGATGATATAATACATAATATATAATAATTTTAACACTAATCCTGAGCAGACGTAGGCATTGTCATGCATCCAAACAGGCATTCGGAGGAACAGCAAGCAGTTGATTCCTCCTAGCATGGACAACTGAATCCCACGCACGTGTAGACATTGTGGTAAGTCATGCATCCAAACAGGCATTCAGAGGACCAGCAAACAGTTGATTCCTCCTAGCATGAACAACTGTTACCCATACATCCAAACAGGACATCGGAGAACCAGCAAGCAGTTGATTTCTCTTAGTATGGCATCAGTCCACATCATTGACTCTACCATAGGATGTGCATGATGTACTTGCCTTATTTGCCAAAAGTCTCGCGGCTTCCTGCATCTTCATTTCGTCTTTACAATCGTTGATAAGAGAACGTAGACTTTTTGTAAGAGCATCGTTTGCTTTTTGATAGTTTAACCTTCTTATTTCATCTTTATTTTCATGTATCCATGCTTCATGAAATCTGAGGATACTCCAATCACTAACGTCACTGTCATCAAAGTACCTATGCCATTTGGGACTTGTCATTCTGTAGAAAGTTAAAACGCGAATTTCTATAACGATAATATTCTACAGTACATTTCATGTGACATAGGGAAAGTTTGATTGGATTGGTTATTGAGTAAGATACATAAATAAAAATTCCGATTGGTTAATTTAATTAACATACTATCGGTCACGGGTTATGTCCTTTAATTTATGGGCAATCAATTTATATGATGATCATACAAATTTCACCGTTTTTTTCTTAGTAAATTAAAGTTTGTTTAAACAATAGTAACCCACAATATATTTCATCCTCTCTTGTAACTCTAAATAAAAATGTTGCTTAGGTTCGTTATTTTTTAGTTATTCACTTTATGTTTTTTAATAGTTGCCAGAATATAAAAGAAACTTTAAATTTATGAATACAATTAGCGGAATATGTCACATGATTTACCCCGTGAATAATTTAAGTATCATAAATTTTATATGAAATGGAAGTGAAAGTAGGTTCGCTCTCAAAATAAGTATTAAGCATATCTGGTCATCATTTATTAGTTCTATTAAGTCTGAACTTTTGTTAAGGTATTTCGTCTAAGAAATATTTCAAAAATTAATTATTTAAACTTTAAGACGTTTCAAAAATGTTTTTTTTACTGCCAGAAATATAAACTTTGTAATCGTAAAATACTAATTTTGTTTCGAAGTTCACAGCTGGAGTAATAATGGGTTAATAATATATTATTAATTATCCCGATTAGTAAGCTTGAAAAAAAGTAACCTTTCACTATCATTGTACCGCATTTATATTAATATCTGTCATCCTTTGCATTTATTGGTTCTAGTATCTGTCATCCTTACGACGAATTTAAGCTCACCCTAAAATTCATAATGATAAATTAGACATCAAAATGTTTCTAAGATTGAAGTTTGATTTGTAATACTAAAATTTGTAAAGCCCTAGACTGCAGTTGTAACTTTTCAATTTCAATAGGCTGTTCTGACCATATCATAACGCGAAACAAGTTCAAGAAACTAAAATAATCCAAAAATCATCCGTACTCGAAATTTTGTCTACAAAACTGCCTTCTGCATATTAAGAAAATGGTTT